AGAAAAGCTGCTGGTGTGCCAGGGAGGTGGCATGGCACAGCATGGCACGGCTAGGCTTGCTCTGGGGCAGTGCCTGGGATGGGGCATGTGTCCTTCTTGCCCCTCACAGCAACCTGCTGCGGGCAGGCAGGTTGCTGCATCCTGCTTCTTCTGCTGCCTCTGCTGCCTTCCATTCACTCCACACCAAAAAACATCCCTCTGCCTCCCACCCAAGGACTCCAAGGCTTTGGGGTGACCACCTCACTGGGGACCTGTGGTGGGGGCTCTGGGATATGGCCCATGGTGAAGCTGGAGGGGGAAAGCCCCAGGGCTGGGCTCCCCTTGCCAGACAGGCAGGTCCATCTGGGAGGCAGTGTTGGGGAGGACGGGCAGCGGGCAAGGCTGCAGAGGTGGGGTGGGCTGGGGCAGGAGAAGGGGCTCTGGTGGCAGCCAGGAGGCAGGGGGGTGGGTGGGGGGCATGGCTGGTAAGGAGGGACATTCCCTGCCCCCCTCCTTGCACCAGGTGCTGGGGGCAGGCACTGCTCAAGCCAGGGGTCACTGCCCATGGGGACCCTGTGCCAAGGCCAGACCTGCAAGATGTTCTGCAGCTCCACGATGCCGAGGGTGCCGGCGCTGCGTACCAGCACCTGCAGCATGCTGTCCATTGTGGCCAGGGTCTGTGAGGGGGACAGAGTCTTGAGGGCAGCCCTGGAAGCCTGGCAGGGGACGGCCATGGCCCTGCGGTGCCCAGGAAGGGGCCTCGCAGCCAGGGAACTCCCCGTGATTCACCCCCTGGCATACCTTGGAGTAGAGTGAAGCATCAGGGCCCTGAGTGTCCTCCTGAGGAGGCAGGTGGAAGATGTTGCAGAAGCAGGCATAGAGGAGGCTGCTCTTCTTCTCCTGCAGAAGCAGCCCTGCTCTGCTGTGGGGACAGAGAAGGAGGCAGACCCTGGGCTTAGAGACCTGAGCTGAGCCCCATGCCATGGGGGACACCTCAACCCCCCATGACACTGGCACTCGCCTTTGCGAGGAAAACCCTGTGGCACTCCCTGCCCTGTTCTCTGCCTCCCTCTCACACCCAGGACTGGGGATGCTCCCCACCTGGGACTAGTGCCATCGGGGCCACCAAGCTGGGGGCTGGGGCAGGTACCTCATGGAGGTGATGGCCAGCATGGCTTGCTGCTGCACCATGATGCCCTGGGGGCCAGTGGGCTCCTCTTGCAGCAGCACCTGGGGAGCACAGCAGCGTGGGACAGCTCAGGATGGGGCAGTCTCCTTCACCCAGCAAGAGCCTGCGGGGCTGGCAGAGCCCAGGTGCCCCCATCCTGGCACGCCCTCCCCACCCAGCAGCCAGTGGTCCCAAGCCCCATGGCTGGAAGGGCTGTGCCCATCACAGAGCCACAGGCTGGCCAAGGGACCTGCAAACGTCCAGCCAGGCCACCCAGGTGGAGCATCTCCAAGGATGGAGACCCGGAGCAGTGCTCATCCGCAACCCCCCTGCCTGGCCAAGCCCTCACGTGCCCCTGGGGCTGTGTCGCTGCCTGCTGCCCCTGCCCCTGCCTCACCTCGATGGTCTCCACCACCTCCAGCTGGCAGAAGTAAAGCATGTCCCACACAGTGGAGTCCACACTGGTGGTGCTGCAGACGGTGCAGATGGAGGCCAGAAACCTCAGCTTCTGGGCCTCTTGCTGCCAGCCGGGGAGGAGACAGACAGACAGTGTCAGGGGGGAGAGACAGCCAGGTGGGGGGCCCAGCACAGCCCCCAGCACCTTCTGAGCGTGGGACAGGGGCCTTAAGACAGGCTGAGAGACACGGGCACAGCCTTATAGAAGTGGCCACGGATACCTTTGGTCTGCTCCTGAGGAAGGCTCGAATGATGTCCAGGGTATTATCTTCCTCCCCGGGCACAGCCAAGGCGGAACAGCACAGATCTGGCCAAGAGAGAGCAGGCAGGGCTGGGGGGCAGGCAGCAGGGAAAACCCGAGCTCTCTGCCCAGCTCCCAGGGATGCCACGAGCCCTTGCTCAAGGCTGGAACACTGGTGTCCCCTGTGTGCCCCAGGGGAGAGGTTGTGATGCTGGAGGGCAGCACAGGGAGGGGGCCCTGGTGTGCTCTGGTGAGGGACATGCTGGCCCCAGGGCACAGGGAGAGTCCCTGTCCCAGGAATGCCATAACAGAGCTAGCTTCCTGGCCACTGCGCTGTGGGAGCTCTGATGCCAGTCTGGCTGGGGGACGCGAGCCTGGCACAGGACGGGGCAGGGCAGGGTGGGCAGCCCCCTGCTCCACAGCACCCGCACACTCACCTGCCCGCAGCAGCTGGACCTTGCACATCTCATCGGGCTTTGGCCCGGAGCTGGGAGCCAGGGCAGCTCCATCCTTCTCCTCCCAGGCCTGCCTAACGTGGCCAGGAGGTCTCTCTGCCATCCTGCAGGAGGGAGGGAGGAAAGGGGTGAGGAGGACCACCTGTACCCCAGGGGCGGTGGGGCAGAAGTGGCTGTGCTCGGGGCCTCCTCGCTCCCATCCTGTCCCAACACTGTCCTCCCAGACACTGTGGGAGCAGAGCTGGGTGACACAGGGTGTCGCAAAGTACCCCAATGTCACTCCCCTAAGCCCCCTGATCCCCCCGCCCCAGAACCCCTCTGGCTGCCCCGGAGCACATGGACCCCTCCTCGCCCTGGGGGGACGGGACTGGCTCCCTCTTCCTCCTCCTCCCGCTATGGGGCTGGGGTTTGTCTGTATGGGAGCATCCCCCTTGTCGCAGACACCCCTCTGTCCTCTGTCCCTTCACCCCCAGGGCCTGGTGCCGCCCCTACCTATGGCCAGGCTGAGCCGGAGCGCAGGCCCCAGGCCCTCAGGCACGCCGAGGCTCTTCCCTCGTCCACACAAGGCCTGGGACAAGGCCTGCCGGGCTCCCCTTGCTCGAAGGCAGGTGGGCACACAGGGACACCAGAGGCCTTCCCATGCGCTCAGCCGCAGCAACCTGCGACTCTTGGGGTCAGCTGGGTCCCCCCGGTTATGGCTGCCGTGGCAGGCGGCAGGGTTCCACCAGGGACGGGGGGGTTCCCCCCTCTCCCACTCCCCGAGGCCTACGGCCCCGTTGGGCCCAGCCCGGGCCTGCTGGGCCGTCCGAGCGGGCGCGGGGGCCCGGGCCGGGCCGGGGGGCTGGGGGG